ACACCGGTAATTGTGACAGCACATGAAAGTGCAGCAAATTTTCTTAATTTTCCGAAGCAAACAAGTCGATGTAATCTGAATAGATTAATTTTCTTCTCCTGGACCAGTTTATGGTGCAGAAATCCAGCCATACTTATTGATTATCAGACAAGTCCACTAATTCCCTTAAGGTCATTACAAGTACTTAATTAAAGTGCAGTTAGTGAGCATTTCCTTTAACAAAGTAATAGTAGCTGTTAAAAGTGATTTATATATTACCGATATGTTAGCTATTCATTAACAAAATTGATTTCTGTTTGCTAAACAAATAGATCTGATAGATGGGATTTAGATAGTTATAAGCATATTAAAGGACCAGTGTAGCATACATTTTCATCTGTAGTTCCGTGACGCAAATAATCATTTTGATCCAATAGTTTTTAGGTTTTAATATGCCATCTCTGGGAGATACTACAGAACGTATCAATATTATGTTCTTTACCTGATGTTGCTGTACAGCTTATTTGCTACACTGTCATCCAAATGCATTGGTTCCTTCGTGGAATGAAATCTTGATCCAATTGCGATGTGAGCACATGCTGATGTATGTCCACACATGTGCACTGGAAGATTATGTGAATCACTAATATCAGAGGAAGGAGCTGGGGTGAGTACATGATCAGTGCTTCTATAGGAAATGTTGATTAAAACTAAAAACCACCGGAAATTATAATTTATTCGATCGTTATCAAGACTATTTTATTATAATCTGTACCCTCTTAAGAGAAAAAAAAAAGAAAAATCAGATTGAAAAAATTATTTTTTGTTAAAGTATATTTTATGGTATCTGTTAGAAATTGGTTATCACAGAAGTAGCTTTGTGCATGTGGCCTGTATATATCAAATGGAAAATCAAGGTGGGAGGTGATTCCTATTTTATTTAAAAGCATAATGGAGATTAATAAAAATAATAATAATATAAAAAAAGTTCGTCACCTCTGAGTTTCCCTCATTTGCTGCAAATTTGCAGCTTCTTCAGGATAAATTATACAATTGTCATTATTGGCATTTATATAGCGCCAATATTTTCTGCAGTACTTTACACTTATAGAAAGGGGATATTTGACAAGTAATTGACATATAAAAATTAACAGATACAAGAGGTTTGCAAATAAGCAGAGGCCTACCCAGGTGTTAAACATTCCTAGTGGGTGGTGATTTTAGGAGTTATATAAGGGCTGTTGTCATTAGCTTGGCTAATATAGCTTGGTTGCTTCATCTAAGTGTTGCTTCTAAGTGTGTAATTGGAGATATTCTGGAGATAAACTGGAGGTAATCTGAGGTATTCAGGAGGATAAATAAAAAAGTTAAGATTTTTTTGATTTAAATTATTCTCCTCATTGGAATGGCAGACTTAGTTCAGTGTAATAGTTGCTATGCATTTGTTTCACGTTCCACTTTTTGGAGATTTGGTTGCTGTCTAATCTGTAGACAGTTCTCTATCTTGCAGCAGGAGATTGTATTTTTGAAGTCTGAGATTTGTAAATTATCTGGTGAACAAACTCAGACTGGAACTGCTGCAAAGCCACTGCCGCAGAGACATACTAGGAATGGCAGATGGATTACTGTAGGATCTGGTAGACTTAGAGTTGTGGATAAAAGGCATTTTGCACAGTCTGTTGCTCTACATAATTCATTTTCTGCACTTTCAGAGTGTAATGGTGTTGTGGAGAGAGGCACTGAGGCTAGTGGTGTTGTGGAGAGAGGCACTGAGGCTAGTGGTGTTGTGGAGAGAGGCACTGAGGCTAGTGGTTTTGTGGAGAGAGGCACTGAGGCTAGTGGTGTTGTGGAGACCGGATTGGAGACTATGGTGAGGCCTAATAGAAAGCAGTTGTTGTTGGGGGATTCGATCATAAGAGGTGTGGAGATGGACAATGGTGGTCTTGTGAGGTGTCTTCCCGGAGCTACTGCTCACAGAGACAGGAGACGTATCTGTAATATTGTTAAGCAAGCAAAGCAGGAAGGGGAATTTGATGTACTTGTCCATCTAGGGACAAATGACTTGGCTTGCAATGAGGTTTCAGAGGTTAAGGAAGTTTTTAGTGTTTTTGCCAATGATATACGGCAGGTTGCTTCCACACTGTCATTCTCTGAAGTTCTGCCTGTGCATAACACTCAGAACGACAGGCAGATGCGTATTAGGGACTTTAATTTGTGTCTTGGTGAATGGTGTCGGGTGCAAGGATTTGGCTTTATTTCTCATGGTAGCTCTGATTGGAATGGAAATAAGCTGTACAAAAAAGATGGTTTGCATCTTTCTCAAAAGGGAACAAATGTTCTCAGTGAGCAGTTCAGAGGTTTTTCTAGGATGTATTTAAACTAGGGGGGGAGGGCAAAAGGGTGATAAAACATCAATCCAATTGTCCTCCAAAACAAGGACAGAAGGTGCCTGTAGCAAGTGTGTTAAAAAATTATAAGCTTAGAGTCATGTCTACAAATGCTCGCAGTTTAGGGAATAAGATCCATGAACTTTTGGCAATAATGGCAACTGATAGTGTAGATTTAGTCGCTGATACCGAGACATGGTATAATGAGAAAAATGACTGGGACATAGCAATACCAGGGTACTCTTTATATAGAAAAGATAGGAAAGGCAAGAAAGGGGGGAGTGGTGGCCCTGTATGTGAAGGATAGCATAAAATCTAGCCTAATAAAAGTTAGTGAGTCAAACATAGAGTCCGTTTGGGTTATGTTAGAATTTGGTAATCACACAGTAACTCGTGTAGGTGTGATTTATAGGCCCCCAGGACAAATTGAAGAGTTAGATAATCTACTAGTTGAGGAAATAGCTAAAATGACAATAAAGGGGGAAGTTATCATCATGGGTGACTTTAATCTTCCTGATGTAAATTGGAAAACAAAATTAGTGACTTGTGCCAGGAGCACACATATTCTAAACTCCCTACTGGGATAGTCTCTAAAACAAGTTGTTGAGGAGCCAACTCGTAAAGAGGCCATACTAGATTTAGTGTTAACAAATGGAGATTTGGTATCAGATATTACTGTAGGTGAAAGTTTAGGATCCAGTGATCATCAGTCACACCACACAAAAACAAAAGTTTTAGACTTTAAAAAACCAGACTTTTCTAAAATTAGAATATGTGTAGAGGACATTATCAGACTGGAGCAATTTAAATGGATTCCAAGAGAAATGGGATTATTTAAAAGTTGCACTATTGAAGGCAACAGACAATTGCATTAGGCTTGTCAGTAAAAGCAAAAAATTCAAGAAACCACTGTGGTACTCCGCAGATGTGGCCAAAATAGTTAAAAACAAAACGTTAGCATTTAGGAATTATAAAAAAAACCAGAGTGAGGAAGACAAAATGATCTTTAAGATTAGGCAGAAAGAGGCTAAGCAAGTTATAAGAGCTTCCAAATCACACACAGAAGAGAAAATAGCACAGTCAGTAAAAAAGGGGGACAAAACATTTGTTAGATACATAAATGAGAAAAGAAAAGTAAAACAAGGATTAGTTAGATTAAAAACAAAAGAAGGAAGGTATGTAGAAGAGGATAAAGGTCTAGCTGACTGCCTCAATGAATATTTTTGTTCTGTATTTACAGATGAAAATGAAGGAAAGGGACCTCAGTTGAGAAAAAGGATAAATGAGTCATTTATTACACATGAGTTTACAGAGGAAGAGGTTCTATTTCAACTGTCAAAAGTAAAGATAAATAAGTCAATGGGACCTGATGGAATACACCCAAAGCTATTAAAAGAGCTTAGTGGTGTACTAGCAAAACCATTAACAGATTTATTTAACCAATCATTGTTAACAGGAGTAGTCCCAGAAGATTGGAAGTTAGCGAATGTTGTGCCCATTTAAAAGAAAGGTAATAGGGAGGAGTTGGGCAACTATAGGCCAGTAAGCCTTACTTCAGTAGTGGGGAAAGTGATGGAAACCATGTTAAAGGATAGGATTGTTGAACATCTAAAACACATGGATTTCAAGATCAGAGACAACATGGGTTTACTTCAGGGAGATCATGCCAAACTAATATTATTGATTTTTTTGATTGGGCAACTAAAATTATAGATCAGGGTGGTGCAGTAGACATTGCTTACCTAGATTTCAGTAAGGCTTTTGACACTGTTGCACACAGAAGGCTTATCAATAAACTGCAATATTTAAGTTTGGATTCCAATATTGTTGAATGGGTAAGGCAGTGGCTGAATGACAGGCAACAGAGGGTTGTAGTTAATGGAATATATTCGAAGCTTGGACTTGTCACCAGTGGGGTACCTCAGGGATCTGTACTTGGACCCATTCTCTTTAATATTTTTATTAGTGATATTGCAGAAGGTCTTGATGGTAAGGTATGTCTTTTTGCTGATGATACTAAGATATGTAACAGGGTTGATGTACCAGGAGGGATAAGCCAAATGGCAAATGATTTAGGTAAACTAGAAAAATGGTCAGAATTGTGGCAACTGACATTTAATGTGGATAAGTGCAAGATAATACATCTTGGACGTAAAAACCCAAGGGCAGAGTACAGAATATTTGATAGAGTCCTAACCTCAACATATGAGGAAAGGGATTTATTGGTGATTATTTCTGATGACTTAAAGGTAGGCAGACAATGTAATAGAGCAGCAGGAAATGCTAGCAGAATGCTTGGTTGTATAGGTATTAGCAGTAGAAAGAGGGAAGTGCTCATGCCTTTGTACAGAACACTGGTGAGACCTCACTTGGAGTATTGTACACAGTACTGGAGACCGTATCTTCAGAAGGATATTGATGCCTTAGAGAGGGTTCAGAGAAGGGCTACTAAACTGGTTCATGGATTGCGGGATAAAACTTACCAGGAAAGGTTAAAGGATCTTAACATGTATAGCTTGGAGGAAAGACGAGACAGAGGGATATGATAGAAACATTTAAATATATAAAGGGAATCAACACAGTAAAGGAGGAGACTATATTTAAAAGAAGAAAAACTACCACAACAAGAGGACATAGTCTTAAATTAGAGGTGCAAAGGTTTAAAAATAATATCAGGAAGTATTACTTTACTGAGAGTGTAGTGAATGCATGGAATAGCCTTCCAGCTGAAGTGGTAGAGGTTAACACAGTAAAGGAGTTTAGGCATGCGTGGGATAGGCATAAGGCTACCCTAACTTTAAGATAAGGCTAGGGACTAATGAAAGTATTTAGAAAATTGGGCAGACTAGATGGGCCGAATGGTTCTTATCTGCCGTCACATTCGGTGAAAAAGGGTTTGCTCAAACTAATTGATAGCCAATTCCCCCTGTCTCTTTGTCCTCAGGGGTAGCACTGTGTAAATCCCATAAATCCCTGCCCCATTAATATGGCTGATAGGTAATTCAGTACATGGCAGTGTTTTTTATTCAATACAAGCTTATATTACCTTTCCAATTCACGCAATTCATGTTTTTCTATTAATTAAACTAATACCAACTGTTTGTGCCCGTGGCTGTAACACATAGTTACTTTTAGAAAGCTATAACAGACATGGTAAAGGGAAAATAATCTATTGGTGCATAATAAATACTATAATATAATAATAGTATACTTTGTCTGAAAAACTAATCTGGCGTTTCTGGAAACTAATAATGAACATAAATGAAAGGCCTAATTTTTAGCATAAAGCTTACAGTGAGAATGAATGAGAGAGGCTTTACGTTTATGAGATAGAATTGGGCCTAAAATGTTATAAATGAATGGCCTACACTAGACTTAAGCAATACCTATGCAAGCTAAAGCCTGCTACTGTTGGCAATCTGCTGGAAACATTCATTAATTCTAATTAAAAAACTAATTGCATTAACAATTTGAATTAATCACTGTGGTTGACATTCAAATCATTACTGTTACTATTACTTGACATTCACTAGAGGTTGATGGATATTCCTGCTTCAGAATATGAAAAGATAGTCAAACCCACCATGAATACGCTAAGATGCAATGGTCTGATAGCCCCGCATCCCATACTGGGAGAAACATTACAAATGCGCAGCATATGGGCCCAGCATTGACTTTGTAGAATACTTTACTTCTTGTTACATGGCTGGAAAAAAATCTCTCTCACTTGGACTCATAGGTTGACTTGTCTTCTACCTACTTTACTATCAACATTCCTTCTTTGCTAGTTGCCATTAAAAAGAAACTGATCAGCCACAACTTTAAATTCACCATCCTAATATTGTATAGAACATTTTTGTTGTGTCAAGGCATGGACTCCACAAGATCTCTGAATGTGTCCTGTGGATCTGCACCAAGTTATTAGCAGAAGATCCTTTAAGTCCTGCAAGTTATGAGGTGTGGCTTCTATGGATCAGATTTGCTGTTCCAGCACATCCCACAGATGCTCAATCGGATTGAGTTCTGGGGAATTTGGAGGCCGAGGCAAAACCTTGAATTCTTTGTAATGTACCTCAAACCATTCCTGAACAATTTTTGTAGTGTGTCAGGGTGCATTATCCTGCTGAAAGAGGCCACTGCCATCAGGTAATACCATTGCTATGAAGGAGTGTGCGTGTTCTGCAACATTTTCTAGGTAGGTGGTATATGTCAAAGTAAATCCACATGAATGCCATGATCGAAGATTTCCCAGCAGAATGTTGCCCAGAGCATGACACTACCTCTGCTGGCTTGCCTACTTCCCATAGTGCATTCTGCTGCCATCACACACAGCCCCATACACAGGCAGTGGCGGATCCAGAGCCTGACCTCGGGAGGGGCACTTGCAGATTATTTAGAGAAATAATCCAGACACAATACCCACTACAGCTCAGTGTAGTGGTTATGGTGCCAGTAGTGCCGGGACCCCCTCCCAGAGTAAGTAGTCAAACTGTTTAAGAACAGTTTGACAACTTACCTGAGGTCTGCTTGGAAATGGGGCTGTAGTAGGGCATAGGAGCAGGGGTGCAGTGTGTGTGTGTTTGTGTAAGAAGGACTGTGTGAGCAGTGTGTGTGTGTGAAAGTTGCAGTGTGTATGTGAGGATGGCAGTGTGTGTTATGGGGCAGTGTGTGTGTGTGCGTTGCAGTGTGAGTGGGGGGAAGTTTGTGTGTGGGGGGCCAATGTGTGTGTAGGGTGTGTGTGTGTATTGGGGCAGTGTATGTGGGCAATGTGTGTGTATGGGGGAAGTGTATGTGTGTGTATGGGGGCAGTGTATGTGTGTGGGAGCAGTAGTGTATGTGTATGGTGGGCAATGTGTATGGGGGCAGTGTATGTATGTGGGGCAATGTGTGTGTATGGGGGCAGTGTATGTATGTGGGGCAATGTGTGTGTATGGGGCAGTGTATGTGGGGGCAGTGTATGTGTATGGGTGCAGTGTATGTGTGTATGGGGGCAGTGTATGTGTGTGTGTGGGGGCAATGTGTGTGTATGGGGCAGATGTATGTATGTGGGGGGCAATGTGTGTGTGTATGGGGGCAGTGTATGTATATTTGAGGCAAGTGTATGTATGTGTGGGGACAGTGTGTGTGTATATGGGGGGCAGTGTATGTGGGGGCAGAGTGTATGTGTGTGGGGTCAGTGTGTATGGTGGGCTGTGTGTGTGTATGGGAAGTGTATGTGGTGCACTGTGTGTGTATGGGGCAGTGTATGTATGTGGAGGCAATTAACCTTGTATGTATATAGGGGCAGTGTATGTATGTGAGGGGCTTGGTCTTAGTGTATGGGAGGCAGTGTGTCTGTGGGGGCAGTGTATGTATGTGGGGGCAATGTGTGTGTATGGGGCCAGTGAATGTATGTGGGGGCAATGTGTGTGTATGGGGCCAGTGTATGTATGTGGGGGCAATGTGTGTGTATGGGGCAGTGTATGTATGTGGGGGCAATGTGTGTGTTTGTGGGCAGTGTATGTATGTAGAGGGCAATGTGTGTGTATGGGGGCAGTGTATGTATGTGGGGGCAATGTGTGTGTATGGGGTAATGTGTGTGTATGGGGCAGTGTATGTATGTGGGGGCAATGTGTGTGTATGGGGCAATGTGTGTGTATGGGGGCAATGTGTGTGTATGGGGGCAGTATATGAATGTTGGGCTGTGTGTGTATCGGGGCAGTCTATGTATGTGGGGGGCAATGTGTGTGTGTGGGGGCAGTGTATGTGTGTGTATGGGGCATGTGGGGGAAATGTGTGTGTGTGGGGGCAGTGTATGTGTGTGTGTAGGGTATGTGTGTGATAAGGATGGGGGGCTTTTTTTAAAGTTTTTTTTTAAATTTGATAAAATGATTTTTTTACATAATGTCCCCCCTCCCTTCTTACCTTTGTTTAGGGAGGACATTTCTCGATCCCTGGTGGTCCGGTGGGGAATCCTTGGTGGTCCATGTGGTGAGAGTGAACTCTAGCCCGGTCTCCAGGGCTAGAGTTCACTCTCGCGAGATCCGGAGCGTTGCCGTGGCAACGCTCCGTGCTCACGAGAGAAGGACCTGGAGGAGCTGCATACTGAGCTCCCCTGGGTCCTCTCTCTCTCCCTCCTCTGCCGGCGGTCAGCAAACAGTGCCTGCAGACCAGAGAGGGAGATCTCTGATGTCCCCTCCGGTTCACAGTCCATGAAGGCACATTGCAGGGCTGGCACTTGGACAGCGCCAGCCCTGCATTAGCCGGCAGGGGAGAGGGAGAACCTTGGATTCTCGGGGGGGGGGGCAATTGCCCCTTTGCCCCCCCCTCCCTGGATCCGCCAGTGTACACAGGAAACTATGATGCACTGACACCTTTCTATCATGGTCAGCATTTTTCAGCAATTTGAGCTACAGTATGTCTTCTGTGTGATCAGACCAGACAGGCTAGACTTCGCTCCCCACATGCATCAATGAGCCTTGGGCACCCATGACCCTGACGCCGGTTTACTGGTTTTCCTTCCTTGCTCCACTTATAGTAGATACTAACCTCTGAATACCAGGAACACCCCACAATACATGTCATTTTGGAGATGCACTGACTCAGTTGTCTAGCTATCACTATTTGGTCCTAGTCAAAGTCACTCAGATCTTTTCGGTTGACACTTTTTACTGCTTTCAACACATGAAATTCAAGTACTAACTGTTCACTTGCTGCCTAATATAGCCTATCCCTTGACAGTTGTCATTGTATCAATATAATCAATGTTATTCACTTCACCTATCAGTGGTTTTAATGTTGTCGTTAATCAGTGAACATGATCATGGATGGATGCATACTTTATATGTCAAGCAAACAGGGCCGTCTATAATATTAATAGGACTCTGGGCAAAGCATGTTCATGGGCCCCCTGGGTCCTGCAGCCCACACCCCCACCCCATCCCCAGCAAACACACCTTTCACATACTTACTTACACAAACATATACACTGACAGACATACTGACACTTACACACACAGACATACTGTTACACACATACACTGACACACACATGTATACTGACAGACATACTGACACACATTCAGACAGACACACACATACAGACATACTGACAGACACAAATATACACACACAAACTGACAGACATACACTGACAGACATACTGACATACACATACACACTGACACATAGACACATATCCTGACAGGAATACTGACACACAGACACATACACAGAAATACATACTGATACACACATTGACAGACATACTGACACATGCACATACACTGACAGACATACTGACACACTCAGAGGCAAACACTGACAGACATACTGACACACATATACTGACACACACACACACAGACATACACACATAAACTGACAGACATACTAACATAAACACACAGACATACACTGACAGACATACTGACATACATATTGACAGACATGCTGACATACATATTGACAGACATACTGACACAGACATACACATACAGACATACTGACACAGATGTACAGACACACTTACAGACATACTGACACTCACAGACACATACACTGACAAACATACTGACACACATACACTGACAGACATACTGACCCACACAGACATACTGACAGACACACACATACACACACATATACTCACAAACACACAGACAGACATACTGACACATTCACACACACTTTTAAGTCCACCTCCCATTTCCTACCATAAAAGGTGGCTTCCCTGGTGTCCAGGGTGGTGGCTGAGGCTGTTGGGGGTTGCTGTTGGCAATATCGGCCCAGCCCCCCTCCTCTCTGCCTCCCTGGTCTCTCCTGCGCGTCTCTGTCTGGGAGGAAGTGACTCACGGCAGTCACTTCCTCCC